TGCAGCGGGGGGGGGGGGAATGGCCTCCGATCCTGGATGCAGACTCTGGACAGGGGGACTGCCACGAGGCATCTGCGTAGAGGCCAGACTTGACCTGGCGCCTGCTCCATCCGAAGTGGCCCGTGGGGACCACCCGCAAAGAGACTGCTGGATAGAGAGATGCCGGGAGCACACACACACACCCTTTGCCAAGCAGAAACCTCTGGGCCAATCCCAGCCCCCCTTCAAGAACCATGGCCTTACCCAGGCGGCCTGCCTGTCCTTTGAACCCATTAGTGTCCCCCCACCCATCCCTGCTTCTCCAAGAAACATCACAGTCCAAAGAATTAGAACGGTGCTCTTACCGGAGTGGTGACACATTCGTATTTTTATTAAATCTATTCATCCTCTCCCGCTCAAAACACGTCTATTAATACTCATGATTGTAAAAGTCGATTTTAAAAGTAAATAAATAAAAAGACCATCATGTTTTGCCGAGGCATGGGCGGAGGAAGGCAAGGGCCCTCCTTCCAGGCAGCTGAGGTAAGGTCTTTCCCAAGAAAATTTTAAAGATTTTTGCTTCCCCCAAGCGGAATTCCAAACGCCAACTCCCAAGTAGTAATGTCTTCGTCCTGGTTAGCACCGCTAAAAATAGTAAAAGATTACCCACCCCCATTAGAGGTCTACAAGCAGTCAGTAAGATTTCACAGAAACAACCACCCATCTCATATACTTAAAGTCCCAAACGAAGAACTCCACTTGACACCTTCTGCTGAATGCCAGGAGATTTGGGGGGGGGGGGGGGGGGTTCAAAGCAGGGGGGTGGGGGGGGGGGGGGGAGGCGTGGCTTCCAGCAGGCTACCTGACTGTGCCAAAGGGGCCCCAGAAAACGCTGCCCCCAAGTGGGTGGGGGGCATCCACAGATTGATGGGGGGGCCCTCCTGCAAGGAGCACAGAGGGTGCAGAGGCATTCATCCTTCAAGCGTGTGCCCCCCCCCCCAGTCATAAAGGGCATTACAGTTTAAATTGAACTGGACCCAGAGCAAAGCTTTGAGTATAAGTATTGCATGCCCACGTCAGACAGCCAGTCAGATTTTGAACCAAGGGCAATTTCTGGGTAGTCTTCAAGGTGAGTCCCACATACAAAAGTGTTACAGTAGTCCATGGCACAGATCAGGATGGCTATGAGGCAGCTGGATTAGGGACGGGGGAGAGGGCTTCTACACTATATGCCGCTGGGGGGGGGGAGAGCATATTTACCTGTCAACCTAGCAAAAAGGAAAGGGAGTAAGCAGAGCCCCAGGCTCTTGATGGTTAAACAAGAGCCTCACCCCATCCCACGCGGTTCAGACTTCCGGCCACCTCCTTTCGTCCGGACTTCGCTTCAGTTTGCTCTCCCTCGGCCACTTGACGAGGGGCACCGAACCAGCACAGAAACCGCAGCCCTCTTGAAGCTTAAGCCAGGGCCACCCACCCGTATCGTGACAACGAAAGATTCTAAAGCAATGGTCAGTCTTTGCCAACGGTCTCACGGGAGAGACCTCAGACTCCTACGCAACCCCGGCAGAACACGGCCCACCCCTGCTGATTCAGTCAGCCCAAGACCAAGAACCGAGACCACCCGAGGGCGGCATCCCCCCCCCGGCCTCCATCACCACGCTCCCGAGGATCTCAATAAAATGGCCTGGCCAGCAGGGTCCAATAGGGCTGGCGCTTCCAGCAAGAGGGAGGGGCATGGACCTTGGCCAGTCTGCAGAGCGGTCAAAGCAGTCTCCGTAATACAGCCAGGCCTGAAACACGACTGAGCTGGACCCCCTGGTGTCCAAGGCGTCTTTCGGGAGAGCCTGGAGCTGCTCAGCCGCTGGGAGCTTCCGCCAAGGAGGGTGTGATGGGAGACTCGGCACCTCCTTGCCCAAGGCCCTTCCTTCTGCTAAGGAGGAGCCCACCGCCCCTTCCAATACTGCTGGAAAAAACATCTTATTAGTAAAGCCTCCCTCCTCTATCCCCGGCAAGGTTTTAAAAGCCAAGAGCAAGAGAGATCCGACCGCATAGAGAGGTCTTCACAACACCCCAGGTCCTAACACCACCAATTGGGGACAGCAGGCAGAAACCATCCAAAAAGCAAGGAGCAGGCGGCACACAGGACCAGTGTCCCCTCTAAGCTGAGTTAGTGTGAGCTAGCTCACAATCTTTTAGCCTCCGGCTCACATACTTTTGCCCTAGCTCAGGAAAGATGGCACCAGAGCAAACGAATTTATGCAGTACCCAAAGTGCTTGCTCACAACTTTAATGCCAGTAGCTCACAAAGTAGAATTTTTGCTCACACGACTCCACAGCTTAGAGGGAACATTGCACAGGACACCTGCGTGGCTGAGTCCACCCCCACCCCCCAACAGGCTTCTAAGTCGGTTCAGATCAGAGAGGTTTTACCAGCAAAAACGTCTCCAGCTAAAAACCGGATGGCTAACACTTTGGGCCTTTTGTCCCTGGAGCCGTTAATGTTCAAAGGACCCGAAAGAATTTCGGCGGGCATCACTCAGCACAGGCAAGAGCAGCAGCAAATGAGTTTTCTCTGCTGTTGCTGCTGCCGCCACCACCCCCTGGTCTTGACCGCATCTGCAACCCCCTTGCTCCAGGGGTCGTTTCCCCCCCCCATCCTCTGCACAGCTCATGCCACGGTTTATTCCTTGTCTCCGGGAGCCACATGGCTGTTGTTGGTGCAGCGACAGGATGGTGCAGCGGACGTTTAAGGAGAGGCCTGGATCAGAAATGGACAGATGCCCAAACGCAGCACGTGAGCAGCTGTAATCACCAAGCACGGAGGGCCCGGAACCGGAATCTTTGACGACAAACAAAGCAAACGGGGGAAAGGCACGTGGAAGCCCCTGGAGCTAAACGCAGAAGACCCCAAGAGGCAGCAGCGCCAAAGTGAAGGTGGTGTAAGAAGGAAGGGAGATTCCCCACAAGCAAGGCATTCACCGTGGCGAGAGCCAGCTACAACCCACCACCACCACCTGTCACTGTGTACCCTGAGTTTTCCGCTCTGCAGCCCACAACTCCATCCTAGAAACTGAGAAAGGAAGGCGTGGCTTCCCAAAGGGCCCTCTTCTCCCAAGGAAACCGGTTGGGCATCAGAAGTAAAAACTGGATTTTGTTCTTTGTTGAAACAGAAAGCAACACAGCCGTCCAGTATCCTTGACATCATTTGGGGACCAGAGGAGATGGTGGCTTTACTTTTTAACGTTTTATTAAATGGCTCGTATCAGTTCTGACCACCTTGGGCCTCAGGATGCCTGGCGGGTAGATAAATATTTTGAAGAAACAAAAAATTAAATTAAATCAACATGGTGGCATGAGCAGAAAGGCACCAGTTCCCTAGCAGAAACTTTTCTTACCACCCTGAGCATCTAGGGACCACTGTCAAGTGTTCAAAGGACTTGTACTACTGATTCTGCTCCAACACAACCACCTTATGGGGTAGGTCAGTGCTATCCCCCATAATGCAGTGTGGGGGGGTGTCTGACAGAGCAGCCTGGGTGAGGCCACGTGGTGAGTTCATTGCATAAGCAACATCTGAACACGAGACCTCCTGAGTGACTTAGCTCCAGTCCCCAGGCTACGCCAGCTATTTGGGAGAAGAAGGCAGGCAACACGAGGCCTGTTCTTGACTTTGTCACCGTCAGGAAGCGCCTGCTCTTCCCAGGGAGTGAGAGAGAAGACGGCCTCAGGAAGCAAACACTGGAGCTCTCCAAAACTGAAAGGAATGAACGTCAAGTGCAGAGCTTGCCTGAGGCCATCACTCTCAGCTGGGGGCTCTTAGGAGAGATCGAAGAAAAGAGCCAATCGCCTCACGGCACTGGCTTGAGGGGGTGCAGTAGTCCTCTCTGAGGGGCAGCCGTGCGGGAGGCATGGAAACCTGCCGTAAGATGCACTGCAACCTCCCAAGAGATCCCAGCGAGAACCCCGCGCCTTGTGCTTGCAGGGAACCCCCGATCCCTCCGCTCCAGAGGAGCTCCAGCTCAGGAGGAACATTAAGGCACCCGTTCTTGGCAAAGAGGGGCAGAAGCAGCAAATGCCCCTAGACCAGCAAGGCCCCCCCCCCTCCAGGGAACCAGCAGCAATACACGCCCGCTTCTCACCCTAGTCGCTTGCAAGCCTTGCATGGAGGGCCAGACACAGTGCGGAGGAGAGAGAACAAGCCAGGCTGGGAAGGTCATCTGGTCCCGACTCTCTCGGCCACATCCCCAGCCCTAAGCGAAAACACCCGGGGGCAGGAACTGTGGACTTCTTCTAGCCTTTTCCTAGTCTTCGCAGAGCACCTCAGTGGCTGCACCGATCTATTTCACCAAAGCCACCCCAACGCACACACACACACAAACCCTCCTGCCAACCTCGCCCCTCGCAGTGGCTGGTTCCCAGACTCAGGCCTCACGAAGGACCCCAAGGCAATCGTTGGAAAGACGTGGCAGGCATCCAAGGACCAGCGCCCCAGCGATACACTTGGCGAGAAGAACGCTCACTTTAGACCCCTGTATTTCCCACAGCGCAGAAGCCCATTTCACAGTGATTCCCACGGGCAGCGAGCGGCGTGTCAGGTCACAGGACCCCTCGGGAGTGTGGGGCGGCTCCCCTTCCAAAGCAGAGGAGGGATGGGGTGTCTTCGCCCAGCCTCACAGCCTGGGTCACTGACAATGGGAGCCCAAGTCCAGCCAGCTGCCCCGGATGGGGGAGAATATAACTGAGCTCCTTCCTGGTCGACACGACCCAGCCAGCGGAGTCCTTGTTCCTGGCAGCGCCGGCATCCCTTGAAGCCTCCTGGGGCTCCCATGGCCGGCTCTCTCCTCCCCTTCTTCTTGTGCTACCTGGGCTGAGCCAGGATGACCTGCTTGAACCACCGGCTGACAGCACCGTCCACGCGCATCACGAGGCCGAGGCCCAAGAGGAGGAAGAGGCTGCTCACCGCAAAGCCCAGGGTCTCAAAGAGGAACCTGGAAGTGGAAGAGAAGCATCAGGTGAAGGCGGACAAAGGCCCCTCCGGGAGGGAGGCTCTCGGTTCAGATGCTATCCGGGGGCCGACAGCCGGCGAGGCGAGGCCAAAGGAGGCATCTGCTCCCACCCACTGCTGCTCAGCTCCTTGTGTCTGTCTGACCAGAGGGTGCTCCAGGGAGGCCCCGCACACTCTGGGTCCCGGACACGTTCGTTAACAAGAAGAAGAGATTGGATTTATACCCCGCCCTTCACTACCCAAAGGAGTCTCAGAGTGGCTTACAATCTTCTTTCCCTTCCCCTCCCCACAACAGACACCCTGTGAGGTGGGCGGGGCTGAGAGAGCTCTGGACAGAAACGGCTCTTTTTCAAGGACAGCTCTTATCAGAACTACGGCTTGGCCAAGGTCATCCAGCCAGGTGCAAGTGGAGGAGTGGGGAATCAAACCCGGTTCTCCCAGATTAGAGTCCGCGCACTTAGCCACTAAACCTAAGAAGCGCAGGACAACAATGAAGATAAACTAGACAATGTAGGCAATGCTCCCTTTTAAGCTGTGGAGTCCTGTGAGCAAAAGTTCTACTTTGTGAGCTCCTGGCATTAAAGCTGTGAGCGAGCCATTTGGCTGCTGTATCAATTAGTTTGCCCTGGAGCCCTCCTTCCTGAGCTAAGACAAAAATGTGTGAGCTGGAGGCTAAAAAACTGTGAGCTAGCTCACACTAACTCAGCTTAGAGGGAACACTGGGGGGGTATAAATCCAATCTAAAAATAAATAAATAAAATAAACACCAGGAGGAAGAGACTGACCAGAGAGAGAGAGAGAGAGTACCCCAGGCAGAGAAAACAAAGTGTCCCCCCACTCATCAAACTTAAAGGGGGGGGAGTCCACAATCTGCTCAAAGCTGGGAAAACGCGCTGCCCCTTTAAGAAGTGAAGGTGGAGGGAGAGGGAGAGCAGCGGTACCACCCCATATAGGGGGGGGGGTGGCAGCAGCAGCGCGGAATGCTTTAGTGGGGCCGAGTTCTATGGACGGGTCGGGTGGGGCTGGGTTCCAATCAGCAGGGATCCAAAGCCGTGCCGGGCGATGCCTAGTGGGAGCTCAGAAATCAGAGGTACAGGCTGGACTTTCAGTATGCGAAGACTGAAGGTACAGAGTTCGGGGGGGGATCCCAGAGGGGCATCTAGTCCAACCCCACAGTTTCAACACAAGAAATCAGAAGTGTCTAGAAAAAGCAGCCTCAATTACACTCTAAAAGCGCCTCCCTGCAATGTTTGGATTCTGCACGACTGGTCACGTTCCAGCCTTAGATCTTCCCAGCAGCAGCAGCTGCCAGCATGGCTGGAAACTTACTTTGGGGCAAACACCTTCCACACCATGAGATGCCTTCTGAGGATCATGGCCGCCAAGACACAGGCCAGCATCTGTTGGGAACGAGAGGAGAGGGGAGGGCCGTGAGAAAACGGCACCCAGCAGCCCAGCGGTCTCTGGAAAGGGGGGGGGGAAATAAACCTTGCCCACAAAACATCACTTTATGCAGCGTTCATAGATTGAAAAGCAGCCTTCAACACCGTCTCCAGAAATAGATTATGGCGAAAGTTAGAGGCCTCTTCCATCGACAGACGTTTGCTGTTTCTCATCAGAGCTTGTTACGAGTAAACTACCCTTAGAGTAAGATGTAGTCGAAACGGGCACCTGACAGATCCCATCCAAACTTATAAGGGAGTTCGGCACGGATGCCTCTTAGCCCCTTTTTTGTTTATACTCCATATCAGCTACCTTATAAATTTTAGGAATGATTTAGATCTCCACCCTCCTACATTAGTACATCGGCACATTCATGTACTGTTATACGCAGATGATGCCGTATGACTTTCCAGAACTCTCATCTCCCTCCATTGCAATAACGAACAACTTACTATCAGTTATGATATACGGCTTGGCCAAGGTCATCCAGCCAGGTGCAAGTGGAGGAGTGGGGAATCAAACCCGGTTCTCCCAGATTAGAGTCCGCGCACTTAGCCACTACACCAAAGAAGTGCAGGACAGCAATGAAGATAAACTAGACAGTGTAGGCAATGCTCCCTTTTAAGCTGTGGAGTCCTGTGAGCAAAAGTTCTACTTTGTGAGCTCCTGGCATTAAAGCTGTGAGCGAGCCATTTGGCTGCTGTATCAATTAGTTTGCCCTGGAGCCCTCCTTCCTGAGCTAAGACAAAAATGTGTGAGCTGGAGGCTAAAAAACTGTGAGCTGGCTCACACTGACTCAGCTTAGAGGGAACACTGAGCGTAGGGGCGATGCCTGGTGGGAGCTCAGAAATCAGAGGTACGGGCTGGACTTTCAGTATGCGAAGACTGAAGGCACAGAGTTCGGGGGGGGGGGGGGGGGGGAATCCAAGAAGGGCATCTGGTCCAACCCCACAGTTTCAACACAAGAAATCAGAAGTGTCTAGAAAAAACAGCCTCAATTACACTCAAAACATAAAAGCGCCTCCCTGCAATGTTTGGATTCTGCACGACCGGTCACGTTCCAGCCTTAGATCTCCCCAGCAGCAGCAGCTGCCAGCATGGGTGGAAACTTACTTTGGGGCAAACACCTTCCACACCATGAGATGCCTTCTGAGGATCATGGCCGCCAAGACACAGGCCAGCATCTGTTGGGAATGAGAGGAGAGGGGAGGGCCTTGAGAAAACGGCACCCAGCAGCCCAGCAGTCTCTGGAAAGGGGGGGAGATAAACCTTGCCCGCAAAACATCACTTTATGCAGCGTTCATAGATTGAAAAGCAGCCTTCAACACCGTCTCCAGAAATAGATTATGGCGAAAGTTAGAGGCCTCTTCCATCGACAGACGTTTGCTATTTCTCGTCAGAGCTTGTTATGAGCAAACTACCCTTAGAGTAAGATGCAGTCGAAACAGGCACCTGACAGATCCCATCCAAACTCATAAGGGAGTTCGGCACGGATACCTCTTAGCCCCCTTTTTTGTTTATACTCCATATCAGCAACCTTATAAACTTTATGAATGATTTAGATCTCCACCCTCCTACATTAGTACATCGGCACATTCATGTGCTGTTATGCACAGATGATGCCGTACTACTTTCCAGAACTCCCATCAGACTGAAATGAGCCTTAAAAAAATTCTCCCTCTATTGCAATAACGAACAACACTTACTATCAATTATGATAAAAATAAGATTATGGCCTTTGGGAAGAAACCAAAGATTAGACGATGGGAGTTGCAGGGGAATCAATTAGAACAAGTTGCCAACTTTAAATATCTGGGTGTAATCTTTTGCAAGCTTCTGGTTCTAGAGCAGCCCCATAGCAGCTATGTTGCAGATGCGGAAGAGAAAACTGCAAATAGCATTTTTCTATCCCAAGGGGGCCATTATATACTAGCCGCCCTTAAATTATTTAAAGCTAAGTCATTGGCTCAGATATTATATAGAACATTCCTTGGACCACCGTCCTCTTCTTTCTCTCCACTTGAGAGAGTGCGGTCCAGATTCTGGAGAGCTATACTGCAGGTGAAGAAGAGACTGGATTTGTACACCGCCCTTCACTACCCAAGGGAGTCTCAGAACATCTTACAAACTCCTTTCCCTTCCCCTCCCCACAACAGACACCCTGTGAGGGAGGCGGGGCTGAGAGAGCTCTGACAGAAACGGCTCTTTTTCCAAGGACAGCTCTTATCAAAGCTACGGCTTGCCCAAGGTCATCCAGCCAGGTGCAAGTGGAGGAGGAGTGGGGGAATCAAACCCGCTTCTCCCAGATTAGAGTCCGTGCTCCTAACCACTATACCAAACTGGCTCAAATGTGTGTCAATCTCCTGGGTTAGACTTGAGACGGGAATGCTAAGGGAGATGCATTTAGCAGTGATAAATTCTACAAGCCCGTTGGCAAGGGAGGGCCGCCCCCCAAGCAAGCAGGCAGCTTCCAACAGGGCTGGAGAGCTGAGGCAAAGCAGGTGCCCCCTGGCTTCGCCTACCTGGAGCCCCAGGATGAGCAGGTACTTCAGCCCCAGCTGCAGCAGCGCTGCCGCAAACCGCTCCGGCGCTTCCCGCAGCCTCATCTCCATCAGCTGCTCCTCGCTGTCGCCCGCCCTGCTCTTCGGCGTCTTGCTGCTCCTGGAGCCGGGCGTCTCACAGAGAAAGGGCCACAGCAGAAGCAACGGGCAGCCCACTACCTCAAAAGAAAGGGGAGGAGGGGGGGTTACGGGGAGCCCTCCCAGCTCCAGCCGAAAGATGCCACAGCTGGAGAAAGGAGCATGGCAAGGAGCCGTGCTCCAAACAGCCAAGGATACATGCCCCGCTCTGGTTCTCCAGAGACGGCCTCTCCTCCCAGCTCCCCCGCGACACTCCCTTCCCAGGCAGGGTCCCCGGGACAAGTCAGGCCAAATGCGGGGCTCGCTTGCCGGCCTGCCACACAAACACATCTTCAAGGGTCCCCTTAACGGGCAGGGGACCAAGAAGCGGCCTGCTGAGTGCAGCGCCCGTCCCCCGATCCAGTCCTCAGGCTTCACCACCAGGTTGGCAATGCCACCCCCACCCCCCGCATCTCCCAGCCTCGGCCTGCTTCAGGGCCAGCAAAGGGCGACCCCCTCGGCCTCCCCCGATGACTCACCTGCAAAGAGGATGTGCGAGGCGAAGGTGTTGGCCCCGACCAGGAGAGCTGGCATCAGGTTGGCACCGTGCCCCTGCTGGAACCCGACAAAGGCGGCATTCCAGTGGATGGCTGGGAAGACGGGCTGGTGGCCTGTGGCATAGAAGAACTGAGCAGACGCAAGGGCCCAGCTGATCAGGGCCTCCCAGGGCACTGCGAAGGGATCTGCAGGGAAGAGGAGGAGGAGGAGACTGGATTTATACCCCACCCTTCACTACCTAGAGGAGTGTCAGAGCGGCTTACAGATTCCTCTCCCTTCCCCTCCCCTGGGAGGTAGGCGGGGCTGAGAGAGCTCTGACAGAAATGGCTCTTTTTCAAGGACAGCCTGTGCCAGAGCTTGTGACTGACCCAAGGTCACACCAGCAGGTGCAAGTGGAGGAGTGGGGAACCAAACCTGGTTCTCCCAGATTAGAGTCCGCGCAATTAAACACGACACCAAGCTGGCTCTCAAAGACAACCATGGAGAGGAAGCCAGGGAGACACCGACGCCACCCCCGCACACACAGACACACCATTCTTCTCCTTCACAGCCGGGTCTCTTCCCCCTCCCACTACAAGGAAGGCGGAGACAACCTGCTGTGATGTTCAGCACTCCCACCATGGGGGGGGGGGGACGATGTAATGCAGGACAACACTCTCTGGGCCGTGAAGGGGTTTGACCCCCCCAGAGCCAGAACATAGTCCACAATGCCCACCATTCCAGGTTCTGTCTCTACAGCTGCGGGGCCAAGTTCTCTACAGCTGTGGTTTGTGAACCAGCAGGGGTGCGACAGGAACAGCACAGCAGAGATTGATGCTTGGGGGGGTCAACAGTGGGAGGGCTTCTGGTGTCCTGGCCCCACTGCTGGACCTCCTGATGGCCCCTGGTCTTTTTGGCCACTGTGTGACACAGAGTGTTGGACTGGATGGGCCACTGGCCTGATCCAGCATTGGCTTCTCTTTATGTTCTTATGAGATGCAGCAGTCGCCTTCCACCAGTCAGGCAGAGTAAGGATACAGGTAAGGATTATCTTGGCAGCAGCTCAGGCTAAAAGAAGCCGGACCGCTGCTCACCCAGTGGCTTTGAGTGCACCTTCAGGGAAAAGCTCTCCCTACCCAGCCTGGGATGGTGACATTTTATTATAACACATTTTGTAAAATTATCCATGTACTCTTTGAAGAGTTTTAGTTGCAAGCCTCTTAAGACATGCCTGTCCTCATGGCCCAGTCCTTGCTAAGCAAGGTAACAGTTTTACAACCTCACCATTTCTTACCCTGAAATGGCCACGGCTGCAGGAAACGTCCCTGAATCGGAATAGGTTGATTTTAAGGGCTAGGAAGTTGGACCATGAGCTACCGTTTTGATCCTTTCACATCTAAGATGTGTGTGTGTCTGTGTGTCAAGTGCCTTCAAGTCACAGCTGACTTCTGGTGACCCAACAGGGTCTTCAAGGGAGAGATGAACAGAGGGAGGCTTTGCCTTTGCCTGCCTCTGCTTCGTGACCCTGGACTTCCTTGGTGGTCTCCCATTCACGTGCTAACCAGGGTTGACCCTGCTTAGCTCCTGAGAGCTGATGAGATCGGCCTTGCCTGGGCCATCAGAGACAGAAGGACGTTAAAAAAAAAGAAATGCCTAGAAAGTTTGATAGTCCTTTGTCCTTTGCTTCAAGCATTTTGTTTTGGGGAAAGTTGATTAGAATTCCGTGAAGAGAGACCAGGGTAGGAGACCTGTCTTTACTTAGTGGGAACTTTCACTTGTTATGGAGATGGATAACGATCCAATACACTACTGATTTCTTTCTCACGACCGTTCTAGTTGCCGGTTCTGAACGCTTATTCCTTATAGCGGCATTTTAACTGCTGACTTGTTTAATAAAGAAGACTCAAACTGTTAAGTCAACAGAAGCAATAAAGTAAAAAAACATTTCTGCTTGGCTGGCTGAGACCTTGAGCCCCAGGGGGGGGGGGG